AATCGTACAGACTCTACTCCGTACTAACAGAGCGACTTCCCCCCAGTCTCCATCGGCCCTCCACTTCTTCCATCTTCTAACTAACCTTTAGTCTTCGGGAGTCGGGAAACGCTTGATTTTCTTCTGTGGCTGTTGCTCCCACTTCCCTCCTATCGCGCTTCTCAAGTTATCATCGATTTTCTTTTCTCGTCCTTTTCTTCTCCGTCTTCTTTCTCTTTTTGTCATCGTGGTGCTGGAAAGACGGTCCTTTTTTTCCTCTGTGGAAGAGTTCCTGCGATTCGTTCCCTTTTGCTCATTGGCGCTTAGTTCGCTCCTTTTTTTTCATCACATTCCTTCCTGCCATTTACATTCCGATCAGCCGCAGACATCCCCTACCGATCACCTCGATCTCGCATTATCTGACGTCTATCCCTGCCGAGTTAATCGAGTGACCCCTTGTCGATGGCCTTCTTCGTCGCAGTCATCAGTAGAACACCCGAATTCATGATCAAATTCTGCTCTTTGTCTCGTGTGTGAAGCTCCAACCGATTGGGTGCCTTGAGCTAAGCAGCGGGCGGCTACAAAGGGACGTGATCTTCTCCTACTCGGCCCCCTATGAATCCCAACCCAGGCACCATGTCGCCTGTCTCCGTAGATGGGAGTGATTGGTCAGGGATCAATCAGTACCAGAAATCCGATCCACCATTCTCGCCTACTTTCTCGACTCGCAATAACCTCGCAACTCCTCCAACATCAGGCACACCCAGCGGGCTGGGTCCGAATAATGCGGGTGCTCCGAACGGGTCTACCAATGGCGTGAGCGACGCAGGCAACCCGTCGCCCCCGAGCTCAGTCGCGGCCCGGTCCAGCAGTGGAACTTTGGCCGAGGATCGCAGCAAGCGAACAAAACAGTTGGAGGAAGTTCTTGGTCAACACTACTTTGCCCTGAGACGATTTCTTAATGCATCTTATCGGGATGAAAGAGCGAACAGTAAATCGAACAAAGCCCGAGACAAGCTGCTCAGGCTTTCGGCAACTCAGTTTCAAGAGCTCAGTACTGATGTTTACGATGAACTCCTCCGCCGGCAGCAGGCCATGCCTTCTCCCGGGCGGCCTGGTCCTCCGCGGCCCGATGTGCCGCCGTTCCTACCGCCTCGGGAAGATTTCCATGAGAAGCGCAATCAAGCACGCCAGAAACTCGCGTCCCTTCAACACCAGCGGTTTAGAGACCTGGCTACGGACGTCTTCTGCGAGCTGGAACGGCGCTTCCCTCAGTTTCCGGCACGGGAATCTCGCCGAGCTAGTCCCGCCCCCAGCTTGCGTGGACGCCCGTCAAATGGGTACCCTCCAAATGGTTTCGGTCCTAACGGTTATCCTCCGCCTCCCGGCAGTCGGCGCTCTCAGTCTCGAGGTCCTCCAAGCCGCATGGGAAGGGGCTATCCCTCCGGCGGTCCTCCAGGCAGTCCAATGGGTGGGTACCCTCCTCGCCAAGGGTCCTTGGGTGGGCCGCCGTCGGTGAACGGTGATGTCGGACCGCAAGCCAAGTCATTCCAAAGCAACACCATTGTTCCAAATAAGAGTATCATGGTGGAGGACGATGACGATGCGCCCGGTACGGAAGACGATTACGACGCGAGGAGTGATGCTTTCGCTCTGGACGGGGTCTTGCAAAGCAGGAGAGGGACGACGACAACCCTAGGTGAGGGCGAACGGAAGCTTTTGGCAGACACGCAGTCGCAGGCATCGGCATTGCAGGAGAAAGTCAACAAGTTGGAGGAATTGCTCAAACAAAAAGACGACGAACTCTCCAGGTACCAAGAGGAGCAGGACAAGGTGGGGAAACTTGAGGAGTTGATCAGGTCAAAAGATGAGGAGCTGTCGAAATTCCAAGAAGAGCATCAAAGATCTCAGGTACGCGACGCCCTAACTGACATGTGGATTTCACACTGGTGTTTTAGTAACACGAAGAGCAGGTGGCTGGCGCAGCAAAGGAAGAGTGGGATACCCTTAAGATGGAACTCGAAAGCAAAATATCCCAGGCGGAAGAATTGAACACCTCTCTTCAGCTCGAACTCGAAAAGGTGCGAATTGAGCGTGATGACACCGAGAGGGATTTGAGAAATCAACTCAACGAGGCATCGCAGCAAAGTGCTGGGGACGCCGGGTTACAAGCACGTTTTTCTGAGCTGCAGATCAAGTATCGGGACCTGCAGGCTGAGTTACACCAGCAACAACAGGTGACAGAGGAAGTCAGACGAGAAGCCTCCACCTTTCTAATGGAGATGAAGGCTCTGTCGGAGCAAACCCAGTCCCGCTGGGAGCACGAAGAGCGATTGTCAAGCGAGGTTCAACGGCTGGAAGACGAATTACAGCAATGGAAGACCCGGTACGCCAAAGTCAAGACTCAGCTACGGCATCTTCGAGCATCATCCGGCATTTCAGAGACTCGTCCCGGGCTCAGCACAGTAACTCAAGACAACGGCTTCATGCAGGACGATGGATTGGTCAAGGATATACATGTTACCAAGTTCCAAATTTCCATTGACGAGTTGCTTCGCGTCGCACGATCCGATGAATACCAACTCGTGATGCAGCAGATTAAGGGTGTTATTCTCGCAGTCCGTCATGTCCTTAATGACATTGAATCAACGCAGAACCCTGCCGACGGATTAGCAGCTATGCGTACAAAAGCTACGCGGAAAGTGTCTGCGACAGCCAATAACATGATCACCGCGGCCAAGAACTTCGTCCGTTCGAATGGTCTTTCACCCGTTTCGCTCCTCGATGCTGCGGCATCGCACTTGTCGACCGCAGTTATAGAACTCGTTCGCCTCGTGAAAATCCGCCCCACTCCAGAAGATGAGCTCAACGAAAACGAGGAAGAACGAGATCAATTCTCGCAGATGAAGTCTCCCGACTATTTTAGCGTTGCTCCGAGCCAAAGCAGAATGAGTAATAACGACTCGATCTATAGTGCTATGAGCGATCCTTCTAATCGTACTCCCAATGGAACACATTCTCACTTGGATGCGGGATTTGAGAATGGTTTCTTGACGGGCTCACAGCTGAAATCTGAAGATCACGAGCTCCAGGAATTGAAGGTGAGTTGACTTTACCGTGTCCTGTCTTTTTGGGTGAAAACTAATCCACTCTCTAGCTGTACATCGAGGACCAAACAGACGGGCTGGTCCAATCCATTCAGGCACTCGTCGCCAGCGTTCGTGCGGAAGACGTTTTGACGACCATCAGCACCCATGTTTCGGCCATTTCTTCCATTGTTTCCAATGTCTCCTCTTCCACAGAACATTTCATCGATAAATCCAACGCTGGTCGCGTCCTTCGGGAACGCTCTGGGCCCATACTTCAGACGCTCAACCTGCATCGAACTCGTCTCTTAGAAACAACAGCCGAGGGCGAGGATGCCGTAAATATCGTGGAACACCGAGAGGTTATCAAGAAGCTTCCACCCATTGCTTTCGAAATCGCCAGAGAAACAAAGGAACTTGTCCATCGACTTGACCTTACGGATGATAATGATTCCGAAGACGACTTCCGGTAGCAGTCGGCAACGAATTTGCTCAGTGCCTCGACCGTTTATCGACAAGCTTGCTCTTTCTTCATCTTCCTTGACTGACTTTTCCCCCTACAATTCTCTGTCTTTCATTCTTCTGAAAAGGTAGAACTGGTATCTTTACCCGAAACTCTGACTTGGGTGCGCAGGAGCACCCGCAGACTGCCAAATTTCTGATTGATTTTACAGCTATTATGCATGACAATGAGCGGCCATGTGAAACGAAGTGTTCTTTAGTGGAGCTTCATGACTTTCGTCCTTCATCATTCTTCTTAGGATCTAATCTTAATTTCGACTTGCTGTATTATTATGTGATATGGTTTTTGCTATCATTCTTGTACACCGCTTCTGCTCCATTTTCGTTCCCCGCGACGATTAGCGTTTTGACCTTTATGATTCTCGAGTCTCAAGCGGTGGTGTCTTTTGCTTCTTGCTTGCAGTTTGCCTGGGCAATTCTGCTTTTGATTTTGCTTATTGACCCTTCGTTACTACTACCAATTCTCATTTTGATATCTTTATCGCATTGGAAGAACAGACTGTTTCTGGTCCATCGTACATTTAGTTTATTTTTAATTTTATATTGATACTATATAACAGCCTACTCACGCAGAAATCAATTCAAGACAAGACGCTGTTTCACCAGCATACTTCTGTCCATATATTTTTTTAATGTATTATCTCTAAAGCTATCCCGCACGTGATAGTCACGTGACTCATATGGAGATCGTATCCGCCTTACTCCGTAGAATCTCCTTTTCTCTCCCTTGTTCCTGAGAAACAAGTTATCGAATCATTGTACCTCCAGTGTATCATTATATAATCATAATTATTGGCACCATACTCTTTTGGGATTCTGCTAAGTTTTTCTCTCCTGCTTCTTATCTTCACGCCTGGTTCAACTGCTTCCATACAACACGTCACCGTTCGCAGCATTCATCTTCTTCGATATCAATTCAAGGTGAGTAGCACCTCTCAGTTTCTCTGGAGACTGGGCTTTTCATGTGTCCCAATTGCTTCTATTGGTGGGTTTGCTGTGCTCTTGATGGCCCTGCAAAGGACGGCTCATCCCTAGCACTGGGCCTGATTGCTGTGAGCTTGCTATATGCAGTGAACTACCGGCCGGCTAACCACGTGGGAGCCTGAGGCCAGCAACATTCCCGATGGCTTACCTAAACCTACACACATGGCACTTTTCGGCTGACGCAATGTTTTTTTCATTGAACCTTTAGTCCCGTGACTTACTCCCCCCCATTCGGCCGCCGTATTGACCCGCTTCTGCCCCTCCTTTTAGTTCCAGCACCGACTAGCAACAATGTTCTCCCGTAGCCTGAGGTCAACAATAACCCCACCTTGCTCGTCCTTCTCTTCTCGTCCCCTCCTCTCCTCTGTTGTCAATTGCAATCAGTCCTCCTTCCTGTCTCTTCGCAGATTCCATCAAACCCCCTCCGCCATGTCTCAGGTCTTCTTCGACGTTGAGTACTCCCCTGTGGGAACCGCTGAACGTAAGTTACTCCACGCCCTCCCTGTCTTTATTCTACATGGTTCCGGACCTGGGGTACAATTGCATTACCCCTCCATCCCGCTTTTCAACATCGGCGCGGAACTGTGCTCAAAACGGGCTGGATTGAATCCGGCTTCAATCAATGCTTTCGAATCTTTTTACTGACGGTGTCTTACTTCGCGCCTTGACAGCCAAGGTTGGCCGTATTGTCTTCAACCTCTTCGATAAGGAAGTCCCCAAGACGGCCAAGAACTTCCGTGAGCTCTGCAAGAAACCTGCTGGCGAAGGCTACAAGGAGTCTACCTTCCACCGCATCATCCCCAAGTTCATGCTCCAGGGTGGTGACTTCACTCGTCACAATGTGAGTCGTCGTCATACACGACCCCACCCTCGCCGGACCCGTTACCTCATATTGCTTTCTGGGCCCTGAATAGGACTTGAGAACTAATATGTACAACTTTTTGTGCGCAGGGCACAGGTGGTCGCTCTATCTACGGCGAGAAGTTTGCCGATGAGAACTTCATCCGCAAGCACGACAAGGAGGGTATCCTCTCCATGGCCAACGCTGGTCCTAACACGTAAGTTGTATCCTGCAATTCATCTATGCTTTTAAGGGGTACCTGAACTTGTACTGATCGCCTTGTAGCAACGGCTCTCAGTTCTTCATCACCACTGCTGTGACTTCTTGGCTCGATGGCAAGCACGTTGTCTTTGGTGAAGTTGCGGATGAGAAGTCCTACAGCGTCGTCAAGGAGATCGAGGCTCTCGGAAGCAGCAGCGGTTCTGTCCGTTCCAACACTCGTCCCAAGATCGTCGACTGTGGTGAGCTGTAAGCCATGAAAAGGGGAAGATAATGGGTTCGATCAAACGGGAGCCTCTCGGTTCTGACGACTTTGAAAATGAAGCCTGTGGTGGCTCTCTGTTCTGCGATCAGGTCTTGGGGTTCCGACGTCTCCTTTCTTGCGTGGTGTAATCTAGAACTGTTCCCGAATTATTAGCCAAGCATGTCTCTGTCCACTTTCAATCTGTGCCGGCAATTGCTTCTAATCGGTTCCATTTCTAGACACCTGTACGTCTTTACACTCTGCCCTCGTAACTAAGCCTTGCTGTACCATACGATCTACACGTCATGTCTGGTTCGACAGCTGTTAGGAAGATGGGCTTGAGAATACAAGGCTGAAGGTGAGCATCAGAGATTGATTGAATACAAGTATAGGTTTCTTTGGCCCAGATTGCGAAGATCGGTTCAATCGGCTATATCTTGATTTTACATCAATAAAATGACTGCAAAACCGATCATGAAGCTAAATGGTGAACGTCTGTGTTATTATTGATTGTTGTCGTTGATCTCATATTATAAACACCTTGAGGTATCTTGTTCTATCGCGGATCTGATCGGGACGCTTGAATCGAGAGGCCATCTGAAGCCAAAAGAGCGACTCCACGAATTGCAGGCCGGACCGAGGAGCACATCTATCCGCAGCATTTGGTGACCGCCGTGGCATCATTCCTAAACGAAGACACAAGTCAGATCGAGCTCCTTGCATATCATCCGAGAAAGGTAAGGGGAGGGAAGGGAATGACATACTCCTTCTGCAGATTCAAGGGCTCCCAGGAGAAGATAAAGGAACCCAGAAACGCCCCGATGAAGATACAGATAATGATGTACCCGTTGAAGTACATGGCCAGCAACATGACAAAGTACGCCACCGCGAACTGCAGCATATGCAGCAGGGCGCGCACCAGCTGCTCGATCAGCGTGGGGCGGACGGGCGTCTTGTCCTCAAACGCGCTGCAGATTGTCTGCGGTGCGCCTTTGGATGCTACGCCTTGGACGCCGCGGGTGGTTTCCTGAGAGTTTTCGGCGCTGGCGTCGGCGTCGGTGTCGGTGGCACGGGTTAGGCCTTGGGATGAGGCGGTTGCGGAGAGGTACTGCCTTCTCAGGTGGGCGCGGCGGACGATGAAGGCGTCGTACTCGCGGCCAACGCGGCGGAGGAACTCGAGGCAGATGACGAGGCAGATGACGCCGATGCAGGAGCCGGCGAACATGCCGCGGGAGGTGTTGTGCCATTGACTGGAGAGGAAGCCTGTGATGTTGGCGTTAGAACTGTGGAGGGAGAAGTGAGAGGCGGAAGCTTACAGGAATCGATGGTGTACCAGTTCCATAACATCTGTACGGTTGGGGAGGTCAGCGGCTGGTTATTATTGGATCTTGTCGTCTGTGCTGTGCTCCGAATCTGCATACCGAGATTTTGCACGAGTGCATGCCGTCCATTCCACCCATATCCATGCCACCCATATCCATGCCACCCATGCTGTGAGAGCTGCCAGTGCTCATGGCGGCGCTGGCAGTCGAGGTTGCGGACATGGCCATGGTCATGGTCGAAGTCATGGACGCCATGGAGTCCATACCGTGGCTCATATGATCCATTGTTCTAGTGGGATAGACGATCGTAGATATGAAAGTTTACGATTTTCTGATGAGGTACACTCGAGGTAGCGAGTCAGTCAATCCCTGACCTGGCAGACAGGGACAGGGAAGAGAGGTGAAATAGAGCCTGGGAGAGAACAGGAGAGCACACCAGAGCAATAGAGAAAGAGTTGAAAAAGAGGAAAGACAGCGGTTATCTACATAGAGATAGCAAGCAGTGGCACCCTGTGGGAAACTGAAGTCGTACAACGAGACAGGCCCTGGTCCCTTTCTCCGCTCTTCTGTGGCTCGATCGCATGATTTTGCTAGCCATTGAGTGGATATCAATTCGAGTATTCTGCTCTCTGTTTCATAATTTGTGCTCGAAAGAGCTCAGTTTGCTGTTTGCTAAGAAATCCGCTGCTGCAGCCCAAACCAATTAGGGTTTGGCTGCGAGTGAAATTGAGCACATTTCGGCCGCTTGGCTTCTTTAGCCCCCAGAACATTCTTAGAATCTAAGATAAGGAACTGGGTCTCTGCTCATGAAAAAAGCGATTTTAGCCTTACAGGATTTTATCAATGTGTAAAAGAAATGGAATGGTAACAAAAAATAAAATATGAATCACTCAAAAGGTACAATCACACCATCTATCATCATAACCGCGACGCCCCAACTCCCATAGAGTATACATGCAGGGTATAAAAGTATCGAGACACATGATGTCAAGTAGATATCATACTCCCCGGTTTGTCCCTTTGATGACTCCCTCCAAGATCTCCCGAATCTGCTTGCATCCGTCAATTCCGACGGCAAGCATTGTCTCCAGATAAGTGCAATGGACTTTCGAGTCCATCACCATCATAGAGACCTTCATATCCTCTTCGTCCTCGTCCATAACGTCCTCTCCAACAGGAATAGCTGTTGTTGTCCCAACTGTCAGGAAAGGAAGCTCTTGTTCTTCTGGCAGTGACAGATCTAGAAGAGGATCCAGAAAGTCATTCCGGGGATCACGTGGCGTAGAGGCGCTGCCGCTCATGCCAGAGGTACAGGCAGAGAGCAGACCCGGCATGGGAATACCGGCGTCGACAAGGGCCAGGGTGCACGCATTGACCGCTGCGGCGAGAAGAGACCCGTCAGCCGACAGGACTGAGACGTGAATGCTAATCGTACTGTGTGGATAGAGGTGGGTGTGAAGGTGGGATTGAAAGGCCGAGCGCAGTATTGTCGCAATTCGTGAAGATTGCCTATGTCGGTACATGTTAGAAAGTAGCGAAAGTGATAGAGCGTAGCATTAAGCTCTCATACCTGTCGCTGCCCCCAGCTCTCCTCCTGCGATCAACGCCTGCGAACCCCGCGACGTTGACATCGACCTCGACCACAGCTCCGGCTGATCCTGCAGCTCCTCCTGTCGCATCACCCCTCTTCCCCTCCGCTGGACCATGAACAGAACACATTATCGACGTATTTCCCATCGACAAAAAGGAAGACCCAGAACTGGCGGGGTTGGTAGAAATCTGGGCTTGAAGAAGGCGGAGCTCGTTCCAGCGGCGTCCATCAAGGCGCAGTTTCGTAAGAGGATACGTTGTAGAGGTATCGAGAGGCATTTTGAGTTCTTCAAGTTGCCGTTATTGTCCGCCAATCCCTGTGCCTCATCAACCGGTTCCGCAAACCGTTCGCTTTAATGCTGTCGCGAGGAAATTTTTCCCAAGACGTCAGGGACGCCAGATAGTTGTTAAGCAATGGTAAGCAACAATGAAGCAAAAGCGCTCGTGTAGCCGATGAAATTTGACTCAGGATTACCCGATCTCAAATGAAGTACGAGGAACTGCGCGGGCAAACGAAGGTGACAGACGGCGGAGGTCAAAGTGAGAGCGGACAAATTCAGTTTGCGGCCAACAGCTCTTTTCCTAGTCGGGAAATCTGCCTGATAAGTATCCGTACTCCGCTCTCCGCATTCTCACCAACACTTCCTTTGCGCGTCTGGAGACAAGACAAATTTCCTGCCCCTCCTTGATTCAGCATGGGCGGAGATTGGGAGTTACAAGACGCCGACGTATCGACTGTTGACAATTCGGATGATGACGATCTCGATGCCACTCATTCCTCCAAGCCGTCAATACCCCCTCGCTGTAAGTTTCTCCGCATGTATGCTTTAGCTAAAAGCTAATCTGAAGAATTTGTGTTTAGATAGAGACCGTGTACTCAAATCAGGCCCAATCCCACCTCAGTCCGCCTCCGATCATGAGCGCTCCAAGCTCAAGCAGTTGACGTCCCCTTCCAACCGCGATACCTCCGTCGTTGACCTAGCCGATACCGACAGTGGCGACGATTCCTTCAACGATGGCGAAGCAGCGTATAAGCAGTTCAAAGAGAGGAAAACTATCAAGCGGAAGCGCAGCAGTGCCAATCTTCGCAAGTCTAAGAAAACCAAAGTGGCGAATCCTGACTCATTTGTCGGCAAAAGGCCGAAGAAAGAGGACGAGAAATTCACTCGTACGCGACCCGTTCTGAGAACATATGGGGAAGAACTTCCCTCGGACGATGAGCTCATGGAGTATACGCTCCCCGACTATCTTCAGAAGCGTCGCACACAGTTCGACCGGCGGATGGACCACCTGAAGGAGTCCGGGTTGAAGCTGCCACCAGATTTCGATGAGGTGGAATTCTCGGACGACGAGCGGTTAGAGTTCCTCAAGGAAAAACCTGCATTCACGAATATAGAACCTTGCGGGAAGTACGGGGACATAACCCTCCCATACTCGCTCGGTTTAATTCCAGCGCCAATTGCCCAATGGTTGCGGCCCTATCAGGTCGAAGGTGCCGCCTTTCTCCATGAACTTTTTGTTTATCAGAAAGGGGGCATTCTGGGTGACGACATGGGGCTGGGGAAGACGGTGCAAGTGATTACTTTTCTCACTGCTGCATATGGGAAAACTGGTGATGAACGAGATGCCAAAAGAATGAGGAAGATGAGACGAAGTGGCCGGGATGGATGGTATCCGCGCACGTTGATCGTCTGTCCAGGGACCTTGATCCAAAACTGGATTTCGGAATTCAACCGCTGGGGCTGGTGGCATATTGATACATACCATGGGGACAACAAAGAGCTCGCACTGCAAGCCGCGAGGTCAGGTCGCTTGGAAATTCTCATTACAACCTATGGCACGTATCTGCACAACAAGGATGCCGTTAACATGGTGGAATGGGACTGCGTCGTGGCGGACGAGTGCCACATCATTAAGGAACGCAGCTCGGAAACAACAAAAGCGATGAACGTGGTCAACGCACTTTGCAGAATCGGGCTGACGGGCACCGCAATTCAGAATAAATACGAAGAATTGTGGACGCTGCTCAACTGGACGAACCCGGGAAAACTTGGTCCGGTTACGACCTGGAAACGTACCATCTCAGAGCCGTTGAAA